CCAAGTTGACTACAGATTTTGATTCAGGGGATGAAGAATAAGAAGCTTGTTTGTTGCACAAGTTAGTTTCTTTTCTTAACCTGCGAGCGGTCTTCTTGATTTCAGGATCATATTGGAGTTCACCTGCACGAGAAGAACGGAGCATCAAAATACGTCTAAATGACACCAATCCCCGGCAATGCGCCAAAATTTTGGTGGGTGTCGAATCCAACAAATAATAATACTTGCTTTTAGAAATATAAATTTGTAGTAGCGGTAAGCAAGGTCGAATCCACAGGGATTGAGTAAACTTATTTTAATGAAAATTAAAGCAAATAAAAGGGGTTTTAACATCGAGAAGAAATCAAAAAGAAAAAAGCATTTAAAATCAACCAAGAATTTAGAGAGATTATTATTAAGAAAATATACAACTAAAGGTATAATTTCAGAATTGGCAGAGAATTGATCATAGATGCAATAATAAAATCTTCTACATTTCACTAAATTGGTTATGGTTATTGAGAAGCTCTAACAACCTGTCTCTCCTTAGTTTCTCGATAATCAAGAGAAGCTCTTTGATTATTTCCCTTGTTAATGAACAACCCTAGACAATCTCTTAAGATTTAATCCACCAACAGCATTAACCACTAGAGGGACCACCAATTCTAGCCAACGAATACACAAGCTCGATTCATTTAGGTTATATATCTTCATAACATAATCAAAATCAACTATGTTACTTTACCACTAATATTATAATGTTTAAACAATTACGGATTTAAAGTTCTAAATGGAAATTTATCAACCAGATAATTGAACAACGGACCCTTTGCACAATCAATTAAGAAAATAATTCTTTATAAAACAGAAGATATATAAATAGCAAAGAAGTAAAAGAACAATGAAAATTATTTAGATCTCACAATCCTTGAAGAACCAAAACTTCAATTATCCTCCGGTTGGAACAAAAGTATTTAGCTACTCATAATTGAAAGAAAACCAAAATAAAAACTTAAAGAAATTCTAATGAAAACTTGATTTCAAACTTGATTCCTCCTATGAAAGCACTAGCTCCCCTTTTATAAGGATTTTCCTACTCTAGATAAGGAAGTTTATTAAAAGTAAATCCCATAAAAATAGGGGTTTTAAATGCCCTCATCTTTTTCTAATGATAAGAAATAATTCAAAAGAGTCTTCCAACTGTCATTAAACTATTTTTCCCTTTTAAATTTGCAACCCTAATTTAGGGTTATACGGACTGGTAAGGAGCGCCCACGCCTTAACTGAAGACTTCTTCTGCGATAGCTCAGGATGAATAAGTCGTGCCCACGCCTTATGCGAAAACCTCTTCTGGTCTTGCCAACTTCTTGAATTCCGATTTTTCTTCCATAATTTGGGGATTTTGTGAAGATCATGCTAATCATTAGATTTTTGAACTTGTTTTATCCAAATCTTCAACCTAATCCACAAAATACAAAATATAATCAAAATCCATGATTTAATCAATTTTAGTTATTCAAATATGAGGAAAATATCATATAATATATGTCTAATATCCTATCATTACCACTACTAAAAACACTAAACTTGCTTCTCTACCCCTGGAAATCGTGGTACTTCCTTTTCACAAAGAGTAACCTCTTAGAAATTATAAGACTGAAATGATTCGCCCCCTCGAACATGAATTTTGAGACCTCAGCAATAGTAACCTCAAGAAACCTTGAGCACTTGAATATAGAATTGGATGCCCAACTATGATCCTATTCCCTAGACATTGCATAGCACAAACTCTCCTAAAAAAATGAGTTGCTCTACTAACTCAGAACTCGAAAAGATGGGAACATCGAATACCCCTTCTTCATAGACACCCGAAACATCCACTATAACTCCTTCATGTGTCGCACCACCTTTCAAGAAACCATAAATAATTCACACCTCTGACTACTCGACACATTATACTCCTGCCCATCCAAACCACCCTCGAGACCCACGCCTTCTTTCTCTAACAAAACCTGATGATGTCTGCAAGCACCAAAACTTGCTGCCAACATTCCACTAATGAAAAGATTCCTCTGACTCAAACCAAATTCTTCTGCATATACCTCTATGAAACCAGAATCCTCTGCCATTACATTGGCGACTGCAAACCATGCTCCCCCATCGACCAAAGATCCGACAATGCAAACACGAGCCTCACAACAATATTGAACTTCCAAAGGAACTACACCTCATTTCCATAACCGGAACACAAAAACCAGCAACTGTAGTAGAACCCTCCTTCAACATGGAACACATCTCAACACCAACAACGTTGAATTCGCCGCTCCACCACCGATTGGAGTGCCAAAAAGGACCACACAATGCAATACACAAAACACAGGAGCGGGCAGTGAACAACATCAAATAGCAACACCCAAGAACACTGACATTGCTGCTTAAAAGCAAACTTAATAAAAGTAAAAGCAACAAAAGAAAGAAAAGAATCGGCGGCCAGCAACCAGGCTTGAGAGCTGGTGCCGCCGCCGCCGCCTAATGATAGTTGTTGAGGGAAAAAAGGCAACCGCCTAATCGTGTGTTAAATAATAATTTCTATTCATAGATAGAACTTTTTGCTTCAAATTGAAACGTTTAGGGTAAGAATAGGACCCAAAATAACAATTTTTTGTGTTGTGCCTAATCCAAAACCCTAAACCAGAAATGATGGTAGACCCCAAAAACTAGAAAGCTTACTCTTATTAATACGATGATTCTTGTTTCAGGTCAACCCACGCACCCACCAGCTAAAACTCTGTGATTTTGGAAGTGCCAAAGTTTTGGTGTGTACAATAGAATCGTAATTTTTTTTTGCTTCTACCTAATTATTCACGATGCTAATTTTTATTTAACTTGGCCAGGTAAAAGGGGAACCAAACATATCATACATATGGATTGACCATTTACCTTTCTTTTTTAACCTTAGGAAAATGAAGGTGAAGAGACTGTAAATGAAAAATGCGAACCAAAATCCGACTTTGGTGCTACCGAGAGCAACAGTGAGATCGATAAATCCGTTCTTGCTGTGAAGAAGGATTGAGAGAACCCACCAGCACCAAAAGCTGTAAGTTGTTGTTATTTGACAATTAAATGAATTTTGAGATTAAAATGATTGTTACTATTTAGCATATGAACTTCAAGGAAATGGATACTTGGAAAAAAATGGAAGAATACTAGAAAGATGGCATGATACATGTATTTGTGTCATTCCATGAAGTTCTTTCTTTATCTATTCATGTTTCATTACTATCAGTATAATGCCCTTGCAGGAAGTTCCGCCCGATAATGAGTTTGAGAAAATAGGTTATCCTTAGATTCAAGTGACATTTGCAGATATTGGTGCTTTGAGTGAGACCAAATAATCACTTCAAGGACTCGTAATGCTCCCGCTGCCAAGGCCTGATCTCTTCAACGGAGGGCTTCTCAAACCTTGTAAAGGTATCTTACTCTTCGACCATCCTGGAACTGGGAAAACAATGCTAGCAAAAGCCATTGTGAAATAAACTGGAGCTAGTTTCATTAACGTCTCAATGTCCACCATTACATCAAAATGGTTCGGAGAAGATGAAAAGAACATTAGAGCTTTATTTACACTAGCAGCAAAGGTGGCACCAACTATTACTTAATGTTCGACAATAGTGTCCTAATTCATTTTGAAAAGATAGTCATCATCATTTCGTCTTTGTCTATCTGATAGCCATTGCTGATTTGTATACGATTCAAACATATTGTTAAAATCTATATTTATGAAATGTATCTATGGAATAATGACTTCTTGTAAACTCCACTTGTTTATGCTCTTCATTACCATCTTACCTTTTTGTTGAAATTACTGACATCTTAAATAATTACTTTACTACTGATAGCAGAATACCAATTGAGCACATTTTTCTGCATAACTTGTGTCTTAATTAAAATGTATGGTTGTTAATTAGATAAAACTACATGATATTAAATTTAGATGATGTAGAGCATAAATGAAATATGCAAAATCAATTAATCTTAGCTAAAGAAAGGTAATTAGCGGCATTTGTATCCAAAAAACGCCGCTATAGATCTGACCTTTTGCGACGTTTGTTACAAAATCGTCGCTATAGACCTAACTTTTTACAGCGTTTGTATCCAAAAACGCCGCTATAGATCTGACCTTTTACGGCGTTTGTTCCAAAAACGACGCTATAGATTTGACTTTTTGCAGCGATTGTTCCAAAAAAACCGCTATAGATCTCAATCTTTTGCGGCATTTGTTCCAAAAACGCTGCTATAGATCTGACCTTTTGCGGCATTTGTTCCAAAAATGCCGCTACAGATAAAGAACTTTTGCGGCGTTTTTTATTCTCAAACGCCGCTAACTTTAGCGGCTCTGGTATGGCCGGCGCTTCTTGCGGCGTTTTTTCTATCGCCTCAAGTGCTTTTAGCGGTGCTTAAAACGCCGCTGTAGGACTAAAAAACGTCGCTAAAACTCTGTTTTACTGTAGTGATTGTTTTCTTTTGAGGTATTGGATTTAAGCAGTTATATTTATAGGGTGTGCTATAAACATATAATACCTTATAACCATTTTAAACTATTAAAAAATAGAAAATGGATTAAAAAAAACAATGAGAGAAACGCATCATTGGAGATATCAAATGAAAGTGGAATATAAATAAGGTCTAATAATAAAAATTACTTCTAAATTATATTATTGTTCTTATTTGGTCAAGTTTTATGTTTAATATTTGTACTATGTATAAATTATAGATTTAGTCCACATATTATTAAATTATGTATATTATTCTTGTTGTATTTGTTTTCAGGTGACTCAACTGTTCCTGCTTAGTGTTTTCTAAGCTTTAATATTTGAGTTTTACTGTAATGTTTCATCATTGTTTTCTGCAGAACTAAAACATAATGATATCTTGGCATATAAGCATCAACTTTATGAATAATATAAAACCAAGTCAAAGCCTATATAAAAAGAAGAAGCAATTAATGATATGAAAGTGATCTAAACTCTACTATTTGTCCTGATATCTTGGCCGCCCCATTTCTTCATACGTTCCGATGTTTGTTCTACCTGCAAATGCAGACCACAACTCTTATATATATCAAAATGAAATCATATTTGTTACCAATGGAGTTGAATCAAGTGGTAAGCAGCTTAATACTGCTTAAATAGGTCTCTAGTTTAAGTCATTGTGTATGCAGAAAATCTCTACCAAGAGATTCACCCGCTAAAACTAGATGCGTAATCTGGTTCGATCCGGATTAGTCAAGGCGAAACTTCAAGAACCGGGGGAAAATCATTTTTGTTTTGCAAAGACAGTTTAAACTAACCTCCTTGTTCCAATTTGTTTTCCAAAGAACAATCAAAAGCAGTAGGGTTTGCAAAGCAGTTCCAGCTATCATACCTCCCCAAAGTCCCTACAATTGTGACAGCAAGACTGAATAATATGGGCATATCTTCAAAACATTTTCGATGGTTTTCTTGGAATATCACAAAGGAATATATATATAATGAAAAGCTCTAATAAATAAAGGTCATTTTTTTGGGTAAAATATACAAATGATCCTCCGACTCTAGGACATTGCTTTGTTGAGTCTCGATTATTAAAAGTTACAAAATGGTATTCTGACTGTAGGGTGTTGTTTTGTTGAGTGCTTTGACTATTAAAAGTTACCACATGGTCACCTGACTATTCATATGTTCTAAACTCGTCTTTTCCCGTGAAAAAATTGAAGGTAGTTTGAGTTGAACGTTGACATGTTAATTGAGATATGATAAAATCATATTTTAATCATGTCTACTGGCTCCGCCTTTATTTTCAAGCACTGACTCGACAACATAATGTTTCAAGCATTTGCTCTACAACATAATGTAATCAGAGAATCGATCCACAAAATATAACTTAAACGATTATAGGATCAAATTTTGTCATATCTCATTCAACAAGTTAATGTCCAGATCATACGACCACCATTTTCTTAACAAAAAAACACGAGTTTAGAACATATGAATAGTCGGGTGACCATTTTGTATTTTAATAGTCAAAGGACTCAACAAAGCAGCATCCTATAATAAGGGGGTTATTTTTTAATTTTTAATAGTCTGAGGACTCAAGAAAATAATATACTATAGTTAGGGGCCATTTGAATATTTTACCATATAGACCAACTACTCAAACCTATATTTTCTAAGAGGGAATAATACTCTTTTTATAACTAAAATCACTAATTAGGTTGGCAAAATTTTCACATTGAACTAAATAAAACCAACGAAATGTAAACAACGAGAAATAAAATACCATCACTCCAAAGTCGGCAATATAACCAAGTAGGTAACCGAGGGGAAGACCAAAAGCATAATAGCAACCTAAATTAATATAAGCAACCAATGACTGCCATCCACCGCCAACAGCAACACCTACGAGAGTATATAACCATAAGAAAAGATGCAAAAAACTAGGGAAATATGAATTTCACAGCCACGAAGATGATGACAATGAAGCATATTGACACACCTGATATGACAGGCTGAACACTGTTAAGAACCATGGTGATACCAAGAAGGTATGCTAGATGAGAAACAGCTCGTTGCATTTGCTTGCTGCTAGTAAAAATGACAGTAAAGTCGTCCCTGGTTATCACAAGAAGAACCATGCATAAAAGACCGATGAACAGAGACTGCACCACTGTAACATACACCGAGTATTTGGCTGCTCTTGGATGTCCCCATCCTAGCTCATTGGAAACACGAACGCTGACAATAAGAGCACCGGTAAAACAGTAAACCTTTTTTGATTCAGTTTTGAAAATGATCCAAAACTCAATATAATACCTCATAGCAGCGTTTATTCCAATGAACAACATAGCTTCCCACCCGTTCAAGTTCATGCTGTCGTGCAAATGCAGAAACAAATTAGAAGTTTAGATAATGTTGTTTTAGTACTTTAGCTTTTCTCTATGAACTCACCAAATAGAAAGGGATCCCACTGCAATGACTGCATTATCAAGGTGACCGACGAGAAGAATCATGCTCATCATGTACCAGACTTCAAGGCAAAGCATTACAGCGGAGGCAATGGAGAGTTTAACGAAGGCCCATATGTCCTTGAACGCCAGCCATGAAAATCCAGTCCACACCTCGTCGCACCAAAATATAGCATAAGCCACTTGAGCTAAAGTGATCTCCCAGTTGGTGATGTCAAATGCTATTGCCGCACCGGTTGTACCCCACCCGAACACATCAATGAACAGCCATAGGATCCCAATGTGGAGAAGCAAAGCCACAAATCCAATCCAAGCCAGCACGTTCACCTTGCTTTGAGCTTGAAGAAACTTGCCTGTTGCGCAGTTAATGGCCAGCGAAAACAGCTGTGGGATTGTTAGTATGGTGAACTCACCAGCTAACTCAGCGATCTTTTCTTCTTGGCCTAGAATTTTAAGGATTGGTGTGGCGAATAAGTAAATCGGTAAGATAATGAAACAGGAAGCCAACAAGATGATCCAGGACCTTTGCATATAAACGCCAAGCAAGTGTATTTGCCCGGCACCGAAAGCTTGGCCGCAAAGTGTCTCAAGTGCACTCCCCATGCCAAGCTACGTTTACATAATTTGCACTATAAATTAGGGTTCCTCGCCTAAAGAAAATGGTCATGCTTTCAAATGAATCGACGAGGGAAGAAAGAGATAAAACATAGTGTAGAGAGAGAGAGCGAACCATGAAGCCGAAAGAGAAAGTTCCGATGACGGTGAGAGAAATTGTGACGGCGGAGAGTTCAATATTGCCGATATGGCCGACGAATATACTAGTAAAGGAGTTGGTTCCATATTGACAAATTATTTGGAAAGCAATGGGAGCTGCAATCTTCCACATCTTCACCGTTTCTATCCAAAACACAAGCTTCACTTCCTTGAAGCTCTTCACCGGCGTATAGTCTCCGTTCTCCAACAACGTCAACGTAGTACTGGGGGTGGCCGAAGATGGCGCTCCGTTTAGCAGCGGCGTCGTCTCCATTTCGTGGGGGAGACACGTGGGGTGGTGCTGTAGAAAGCTGATGATTTTGGGATTGATGAGGAGTACGCCCTCTTCTCAAGCCAAATCTTTCGTTGCCTTTGGCATGGTTTGTTACTACAAATTACAACCAACTGCCAACTGCCAATAACAAATATCAAAACACTATTTCCGACCGAAATAAAAAATTTAGTTATGAACATGTCAATTTAATAACTGCTTCTGTCTTTGAAAATCTATTAAGTATAATAAGAATGTGTAAGTTTTGAGGACTAAAGTTGTTATTGTCTCATTTTAATTTTTGTTAAGTCAACCGTTAAATCTAATGACGAGCAATTAAAATTAAAACGTAACTTTAATTATGATTTTAAAAAAATATAATTGGATAACTAAAATAAAAATGCAAGAATAAATATTAATAATGTACTTTTGATTTTTTAATAATTTAAAATTTTATTTTTTATTTAATAAAGTAACAGATTATATTAGTTCATTATAGTAGATTCCAAATCCAACCTAAACATTTAACCCAAATGTTGAATAGATTTCAATGCAACTTGTAGACATCTATTTTTGTTCGGGTCTAAAAGATATTCTATTTATTATTATTATTATTATTATTATTATTATTACTATTACTATTACTATTACTATTATAATTACATTATAATTTTTGTGCAGCCTTAAATACCAGGCCATTACACTCAAGCCCAACAACCAGATAACCTGAAGCCCATTACAAGTGACCCAGATACAAGACCCGATTAGAGTCCAACAACACTCAACTCGACGTGGGTCCAGGATCTTATTCAGCTCAATATTAAATTAGGGTTTCAAAACCCTAAAAGCTCTGGCTGCCGCCAGTGAAGTTGAACAGCCCTCGCCGGCGCATGTGATGCATGCGCTCCTCCAAATCGACGCGTGAGCCACTGTCGTCATCAACCTGGCACACAATAAAGCAAAATACCATCTACAACAAAGAAAATCACCCTAAATCGGTAGAAACAGTGACCAAATCAAAAACCCATTTTTTAATACCTAAATCCCGATTTTTACGGGATTCAACCTACCCAAAAATCAGAAATACCCATTCCCTATTACTAGATGTCGTAACCGGCTTTCGCCCGGGCACGAAATATTTATTTGACGGAAAAAGTGATGTGAATAAATGGTTTTGAAAATAATTTGAGAGTCGCCATCGGCCTTTTGGGTCAGGTAGGTCGAATACCTAAAAAATTATCTTTTAAAAGAGTTTTTAGGAAAACATTAGTTAAAAGATAAACTGATCTGCGTTTTAACCAAAAATTCGTTCTTTTTAATAATAAAAAGGGATTCGTGGTCGGTTACGTTTAGGGAAGGATTAACACCCCTACAACGCCCAAAATTGGTACTTTTTAATTATAAATTGTCTCTATTATTGGAAATTAAAAATTAAAAAATATATTTAATTCATAATCCTTTTATTTCAGATAATTTAATATATAAATAATATATTTACTTATTTAGAAATATCAGAAAAGAACTTCTAGGTACCTTAAGACAGTTCTTTTCTTTGACATTGAAAAATAAATAACTAAAAATGTAAAAATTTAAAAGTAAAATAATTTAAGAAAAAATTAAATTATAATATTTAATTATTTAAAATACCAGAATAGGACATCCAGTTATATCAAGACTGTCCTTTTCTTCGATATTAAAAACAAATAAACATTATTAATTTATAAAATTAATCAAATAATATATATTAAAAATAAAATAATAATACTAATTAAAATATTATATAAAATTAAAATATATTTAAACAATAATTAAAATAAAATTAAAACTAAATATAAAAAGTAATAAACTTGTAATTAAATAAAAGTATTAAAATTAGTGACTAAATTATAACATATTGAAATTAAATACTCTAATTCGTAATTAATTATTTAATATTGCAATGGCTAAACATGCTATTTTACGCATTTATTAATTTAATGACTAAAATAATAATTATTAAAACCTAAGGGACTAAATTTATTATTTATCCTAAAGATTTATAAATACAGTTAATGGTTAAAATATAATAAAATAAAATTTAAACACTAAATTAAAATGATTAAAAGTCAATTTCAGTGACTAAATTGCAAAGTTACAGAACTATAAGGGTTGCGGAAAGGGTTTACCCTTTCTTAAATTACACAGATACCCTCCCCAAAACGACGTCGTTTGGGGAGGGTTTTAAATACCCTAAACGCCTGGCCCGAAGGGCCAGGCTTCCTCATTTGCTTCTTTCTCAGCTTCTCTCTAAAATGAGAGAATTTAAATTCTCTCTCGCTTCTCTCTAAAGCTGAGAGAGAGCCCCGGCCGGCAGTCGCACTCCGGCGTCGGCCACCACCACCGGCCACCACATGCGGTGGCTGGATTTTTCCTAAATACCCCTAAATAACCTCCTAAACCCTATTAGGCCAAATCCGGCGTTAGTTTCCCCTAAAAAACTTTCGATCAGAGTAGGTCTGAAGAAATACCTTCGGGTATTTCAAATAGTTTGGTCAGCCCGTAGCGTCTTCGATCACCAGTGGCTTCCTCGGTAAGCTTTCCCTTATATCTTGGTTTCTAATTTTTTTTTTGTTTTGGTTGTTGCTGGGTTGTATTTGTGTCTCTCTTCGGTTCCTTCCTCTCTGTTTTTTTTTCTTCTTTTCTGTTTTCTGTCGTGGTCCTCTCTTTCTTGCAGGTGGTGGCTTTAAAGCCTCGATGAGGCTCTCGTCGGACCGGGTATAAAGTCGAGTTCGGTGAGTCACCGAACTATGTGGTGACTCACCCCTAGAGCAGCAACTTGGGTGATAACGAGGCGCTTCTGGAGGCTTCGAGGGGGTGGCGTGGCACTGACGGCGGTGTGGCAGCAGCTGAAGCGTCAACGTGGAAGTAGCGGCTGAGCAGAGGCGGTGGCTGGCCTTCTGGAATCTTGGAGGCGGCTGGGGGGTTAGGGTTTAGAAACCCTAGCTGAAACCCCAAATGTTTAGGGTTTCTGGTTGGTCCGGGCCGGTTCTGGTTTGTTTGTAACTGGGCCGGTCCAGTTTTGTTTGTAACTGTTTGTAAATAATAATTATAATATAATAATAATATTTAATAATAATAATAATAATAATTTTAATAATAATAATAAATTTAAATGAAAAAAATGATGTCTACAGCTGTCCCTCTTTGCTCATCCTTGTGTTAACAAGAATAGAGCAAAGACGAAAAAGACAATAATTTTTTCATTTGGCTTCTTTTGAGCAGCCTCGAAATGTTTGAAAACATCATGCACTGAAGGGCTTACAGATGACCCGAAGGTTTTTGAAAACATCAAAAAGCTCCCGAAGGCTTTTTGGAAACATCATGCACTGAAGGACTTACAGATGACCCTAAGGCTTTGAAAACATCAAAAAGATCCCGAAGGCTTTTTGGAAACATCATGCACTGAAGGACTTACAGATGACCCTAAGGTTTTTGAAAACATCAAAAAGATCCCGAAGACTTTTTGGAAACATCATGCACTGAAGGACTTACAGATGACCCGAATGCTTTGAAAACATCAAAAAGCTCCCGAAGGCTTTTTGGAAACATCATGCACTGAAGGACTTACAGATGACCCGAAGGCTTTGAAAACATCAAAAGCTCCCGAAGGCTTTTTGGAAACATCATGCACTGAAGGACTTACAGATGACCCGAAGGCTTTGAAAACATCAAAAAGCTCCCGAAGGCTTTTTGGAAACATCATGCACTGAAGGACTTACAGATGACCCGAAGGCTTTGAAAACATCAAAAAGCTCCCGAAGGCTTTTTGGAAACATCATGCACTGAAGGACTTACAGATGACCCGAAGGCTTTGAAAACATTAAAAGCTCCCGAAGGCTTTTTGGAAACATCATGCACTGAAGGACTTACAGATGACCCGAAGGCTTTGAAAACATCAAAAAGCTCCCGAAGGCTTTTTGGAAACATCATGCACTGAAGGACTTACAGATGTGGGAAATAGTTTACTAAGTAAAAAAACTAAGGAAATCGTTTTCTTACTTTTCATCAATTTCATTTTTAGAAAAGATTGAATGAGAAACTATGGAAATCGTTTTCTCATTTTTTTTTCAAAATAACATGTTGATTGGGTAACATGCCCCAATCTCAAGATAATGCTCATTTTTGTGGATTGCGTCCATCTCTTCTTCAGATGTTTGCATGATTCTTGTATTTGTGGTTTTGAATACCTTCTTCGTGTAAGGTATTTTTTACCCTGAATCTTCTTGTTCTTCCGAAGATCTGTAAAACTTCATGTTTGAATGCACTCAGATGTATCAATGTAATGCATTGTCTATTGTGTAAATGATATTCTTATGAATGCATGAATGTTGATGCAATCTTCATTTGACTTCAAAGTGGTGAACTTGATCTTCATTCACTTCATAATTTATTACCAGGGTTATCTCTGGATATTAGTGTAGAAACTTATGCTATCAAGCTTGCATTTCTGCAGAATCATATGATCAACTTGTATCTTTACTGTCTTCTTTGCTTCATGAAGGTCTCAGAAGAAATGTTTCATTTGTGGAACTCTTGCTGTAGTCAGAACTATGACCTTGATGCCCCATTTTGTTTTGGATAAAACCAATTTTATTTGTTTGGACTTGTGTAGAAATCCCATAAAGTTTTCATCTTTGAAAAGAGAATCTGTCATCTTTAAAAAGGGAATCTATCATCTTTGAAGAGTGTAGATGTAGATATGCCTGACTCAGCAGGGATTAATTAGGAGAGTAGAGTATGTTCTGATTTGACTCTTGAAACATATCATAAGGAGGATTTATTCCAATTCCTTTCATGTCTCCACATCTAATTGGATCTCGAACAAAGTAACTCAAACCATATCATGTAAAGATGTTTAACAACAACCTATTGTTTGATCTTAGTTGGCTCCACTAGTTTCTTGTTGTCAAAATTTTCAGCTTTCCTTCTGTGGAAAGAAATCTTCATTATATCTCACTTTTAATCTTGAAGTTGAAGAAGACAGACTTCATCTTGGATCAATAAATGGAAACCATATGATTGTAACATTGGTTCAGCATCAGAATAGCAGGTTCGTAAAACATTTGACAGTG